GTTTTTGTTTTGTGAGTTTGGCCAATGGTTTATCGATTTTGTTGATCCTTTCAAAGAACCAGCTTTATTCTTGTTAAGTCTTTCAATTGTTCTTCTATTCTCTATTTCATTTCGTTCTGCTTTAATTTTTATTATTTCCTTTCTTCTGGCACCCAAGAGCTTCTTTTGCTGTTATCTTTCTACTTGTTCCAGTTGCAGGGTTAATGTTTTGATTTTGGCCCTTATTTTTGGATGTGTGCATTTATTACTATAAACTGACCTCTGAGCACTGCTTTTGCTGTGTCCCAAAGGTTCTGGTAGGATGTGTTTTCATTTTCATTTGATTCTATGAATTTCTTGATTCCATCCTTAATTTCTTCTATAACCCAGTAGTTTTTTAGCAAGGTGTTGTTCAGTTTCCATGTGTTTGATTTTTTTTTTTTCCCTTGCTTTTTATGTTGTTGATTTCTAGTTTTATGGCTTCCTGGTCAGAAAAGGTGCTTTGTAATATTTTGACGCTTGTATTCTTTTAAGGCTTGCTTTATGGCCTAATATGTGGTCTATTCCGGAGAATGTTCCATGTGCGTTGGAAAAGAAAGTATACTTGGCTGCTGTTGGGTAGAGTGTTCTGTACATGTCCATGAGATCAAGTTGGTTGATTGTAGCATTTAGATCTTCCGTGTCTTTATTGAGCTTCTTTCTTGATGTTCTGTCTGTCACCACAAGTGGTGTGGTGAAGTCTCCTACTATTAGTATGGAGCTGTCTATTTCTCTTTTCAATGCTGTTAGAGTTTGTTTTATGTATTTTGGAGCCCCGTTGTCGGATGTGTAAATATTTATTATAGTTATGTCCTCCTGGTGTATTGATACTTTAATCATGTCCAGGTACTTTTTGAGGTTGTTGAAAAGACCACGGCACCTTCGTCATCAAAGTGATGTCTTTGCTTTTTAAAGCTTTAAGGATGTCTTTTGAATCAGACTTGCCCGGGGCAGTACATTGTTTAATTTCTTGACTGCTGCTTCCATGGGTGGTGATTGTTGATCAAAGTCGAATGAAATCATCGACAACTTCAATTTTTTCTCCATTTATCATGATATTGTTTATCAGTCTAGTGTGGATTTTTGTTTTCTTCTTGCTTAGACATAATCCACACTGAAGGCTATAATCTTTGACCTTCATCAGTAAATGCTTCAAGTCGTCTTCATTTTCAGCAAGCAAGTTTGTGTCATCGGCATATTGTAGGTTGTTAGTGAGTCTTCCTCCAATCCTGATGCTGCATTCTTCTTCATATAATCCAGCTTTTCAGATTATTTGTTCAGCATACAGAGTGAGTAAGTAAGGTGTGCAGAGTGGAAGAAATATCGTATGCTTATCATATTACCTGGCAAATTGTAGGAGCTCAGTAAGACTTATAATTAATCATATTAACTGCATTGCTGAGCTTTCTAGTAGATTTTGCTTTCAGAGACATAAATAATCATTGAATGTACAGATGGTACATGGCTTTATTAATTTGTTCTAAGGGAGATACACCTAGTGGATCTAATCTTTATTGTCAAGTAATGCAGAAAGGTTAGGAAAAGGGTGACAGCAACCAACCAGAAATCAGTTCTCATAGACTTCAATCCTATCTGTCAAATTCTTGGAAACACTTGAACGAAAGGGATAATATAAAGAACACTAAAAGCCTTCTTTATAGAAGGTTCCAATGTAATTAGGTAAAAACAACAACAGCAACAACGATAAAGCAGCTATATCACACCTTCCAAAAGAATATTCAGCTGAATATAGGTTTTAGAAATAGCAGGCATTAAAAACTGCCACTAGTTCAGTAGATTCAGTATTTTGAGACATGATTAATGGTGTCCAACAGTGAGATGTCAATGTAATTTAATTTGCTTAGAAAACTTAGCTGTCTTTAAAAACTGATCTGCATAAACTTTTACACGTGAAAGTTAGGTTGTTGAAGGCTTATAAAGTTCCCATTACGTTTAGCCTGTTATGGAGTACTTGAGTAATAAAGGTATATATATATATAACTTTTTTAATGGATAAAAAACAAGAAAAACAATTGCATGCATATATCCCTCCATGTTATTTCAATATAGCTAGCTATACACAAAAAAAAAAATAAATAAATAAATAAAAAGTTTTATCTGAGTAAAATCAGCATGTAAGCTAGAAACAAGAAAGACAGCAATTATTATTAAAATGTGATGACTGTTCAGGGGTAATATACTGAAGTTTGTCATGTATGGAAACACTGAGGCTTAGCAGATGATGGAGGAAAGTTAACCATCTCCACCCAAGTCCAGAGAAAAGGGAGTGAGATACAGATGGAGCACATGTTGAAGATGAGGCCAGAGAGCAGGAAAAGCAGAGCAGAGCAGAGGATGAGTGAAGGTAGCAGGAGATTAGATTGTCTCAGAAGCTTACTGCTTAAGGGTGGTTGATCTACTGGCATAGGAAAGAAGAAGATATTGGTAGAAAGAGCACACAGTGTCTTTCTCCTCCCCATGGCTTCATCTATGGTGGAAGGCCTCACTCTTATCTGTTCTTCCTCTTTCTCTTCTTCTTCCATTCCTGTAGTGAGTTTGAGGAAGGTTAGGGCTGATCAAGGAAAACGGTATGACTATAAGATGGCAGTATTGCACACCAACCTATTCAGGCCCATGTGTTAACAGTTTGCATGTGGTGGAGGGTAGTCCCTCAAAGCAGGAGACCTTCCAAGGGCAAGCAGCTCAGGGAGCCACCATAAGGGCAACAGGGCCAGAGAACTGCCAGGAGAGAGATGGGGTGCTTACGTGTCTAGGTGATGTCTTTGGGTCTGAGATCTCTGAGGAAGAGCAGCAGGGTTTATCTTATTTATGGCAAGCACATGTTGGGTGCAGATTTTGTGGAATGTGCAATGCAGGCAGGCTTTAAATGGCTAAAAAATAAAAGTGCTTATTTTGGCTATTTTAAAAACAATTGGATATGTAAAAATTTTAGTTTAGCACCAGAGGGCTTTTGGGCTAACAGACCCCAGCCTGTTATGAAGAAATAAACAAGTTAGGGCCAATACACGGAAGCCATTTTTGGTTCACTTATATAATAACTTCTCGAACATTGTGCACAGCACAAAAGCATAGAATGTGGAGACAATAGTAGAGTTGGGAGGAGCTGCTCTTTCTGACGTGTTTAGTGGTAGAGAACAGATGTGGTAGAAAATCTGATTGAGTTTTCACATACGAATTAGCTCACAGATGAAAAATTCGGAGAATATCAGTTTACAAGATAGTAATCCTATGTAAACATGGTGGTTTTGATTTTAAATGGGGTCATTATCTTTGATTTATTGATGGCCACCAATTGAATCTTTAGTTTCACTTAACTCCCTGGAAATTTCATATCATTGTTCACAAAGAGGACAGGAGAGCAGTGAAGAAATTATCACCACTTCTGGCAGGAAAAAAATAAAAAACACCTCAAAGAATGCTACAATAATAGTTGAGTGAGTTGTGTTGCCTTCAGAGATGAAGGGGAAGACATGTTTATTTATTTATTTAAGGAAAGAATGTCTGTTACCTAGTGGATGTGAGAACAGTTGAGCCAGCGCTGGTTATTTAAGGGATGCTTTTCAGAATGTGTCCTTTAAATTAGTGGATCTTTTCACTGTACTTCGCTCCTGAGAAAAGATTGTTCAAGATGCGTACCTAAATGACTGCCAAAACATGCGATTCATTTCTTTTTTCCTTTTTTTTTTTTTAATCTTGAGTCACCTGGTCTAGTTAAGGAAATAGTCTTGTACTTATCAACTGACTGCATCTTGGTTTACTTAAGGGCTTTGAATCAGGTTTCAGTTCAGCAGGTACCTTTCATTTAAATCTCTCACAACCTTTTAGCAGAGGCAAGCTGTCTGAAGCACCTTTTCCTCTGTTACATACTTAGAAGTGCCTATACACCTATGGTATATTTGTGCATAATTATATCCTAGAATCCAGGGACCACATCTACTTGCCCAATACTATATTTAGGAGGATTTCTGATCGTTTTTATAATGTCATACAAGCTTAAAACTGAAAAAAAAAGTTCTATATTTGGTTTGATTAATAAATTATGTCCTGGGGCAAAAATAATACCCTAACGACTTAGAGAATTGATGTAGCTTAACAAGATGCTTCTCGCACAAGGAAATTTTGGATCATTATATTTTAGGCTCTAAGATTAGAAGAGTTAAAATACCATAAAGATAATTTGGGTAGCACTGAATAAAAAAGCAGAGCCCTGGTGGCACAGTGGTTAAGAGGTACAGCTGCTAACCAAAATGTCGGCAGTTTGAATCCACCGGCCGGTCCTTAGAAACCATTTGGGGCAGTTCTACTCTGTCCTATAGGGTCGCTATGAGTTAGAATCGACTCACATTCTGTTTTGAATAAAACAGCACAAGTGGAAAATATGTATCCAAGAGTTCTTCAGGTAAGAAAAATCACATGACTTCATTTCCTCAAAGAGAAATTACAGAGATGAAGTTATGTTGATGGATGGATAGATGGATGGATGGATGGATGAATGGATGGATGGATGGATGGATGGATGAATGGATGGATGGATGGATGGATGGATGAATGGATGGATGGATGGGTGGATGGATGGATGAATGAAAGGATGGATGGATATATTGACGGATGGACAGATGGATGGATAAATAGATAAACATTAATAAGACAATATACCTTCTCAGTAGAAAAGAGTACCATTTTTAAATATCTAGGACATTGTATCAGCTATTATGTCTTATGTGATTTCTAGTTATTAATATAGCTCGGTGAGACATGCAGCGTTATTGCCCTTTCACACATGGGTCTGAGAAATGTGAAGTGATTTGTCTAAGACCATGTAGTTAATCTGAGGCAGAACTGGAATTCAAATTATGTTTATCTGGCTCCAAAGTAACCTCCTTCCACTATGCATGTGTCATAGTTTTTGTTTTATCAAATAAAGAATACACTTCAATGAAAATTTGTGTTTTGTTTAATAGCTCACTATTTATGTCCAGCCAGAGCAAAAGCACACAGCTGAATATGCTTTAAACATAACTAAAATTGTGTTTGATTATTTTGAAGAATACTTTGCTATGGAGTATGCTCTTCCTAAATTAGGTAAGAATCATGTTTTATTTTCTTATTTTTAATATTGCCTTTGTTTTTCCCTAAGTTAACTCAACTTCCTCCAATTATATTGTCATTATTCAATAATCATCCCAAAGATGCTGAAAGATCCAGCTAGTAGTTTCTGGATTCCTCTGAGAATAATGTCTGTACCCTGTGCTTATCTAATAAATGAGTAGTCCTCTATTTCCCAATAAAGGTTAAAGCGTGAGCACAAAACTGCAGAGCTTGATAATCATGGAGCCAGAAGAGTAACCTAGATCAGTTGATTTTAAAATCAGTGCACTTCTAGTAGCTTACATTGCCTCCCTTCCATCAACGGTTTGGAAGATAATAGGAATAAATGAGGCTATAGGAGTTCTATGTGTTTCCAGTCTTTGCATTGTTGAACAGGACTACATCTAAATTCTCCAGCAGTTAAAATGAAACACTGGTGCTCCTTCCATAAATATTTTTTAAATAAAAGTAAGCCTATGCTCAAAACAGTGTGAATATGACAATTCTATCATAGCAGAAATGGTATATTATTAATACGCTTGAGTGGCGATTAGCAAATCACCATCTTAGTGGTAACACCCATACGTATGTCTACAAGGATGAAATGTAGGCAGGAAGAAAACTAATCAACAATTGACTTCCCTACTTCTAATTCTTGTTTTACTTTGATAAATTATCTATGCAAAACAATTCGAATGGCACAGTTGCTCTGGGCAAGTTTGTAGATGTTACATTTTCTCTTCAACGGCAGCAGCTCCATGTTTTTAAATTGCTTAACAGCTATTACAGGAGATTGGAAGAGAAACAACTTTTCATCCAAATCAGAACAACATTTAATAAAATATTAAGCACACTAAGCTGAAAGACTTTTTCCCTTTTATCTCACTTGTTCCTGTTTACCTTGGAAAGTGGCCTCTAACAAATTAACTCTCTCTTCTCTTCCTCTCTATCCTCCTCCTCCATCTTTCTCATCCCTTTGTCTTCACACTCTTTTATATGCATTTTCAACCCTATCAGAGTGGACTCCATCTTCGTGTTTCCTTAGAAATAACACTTGCATTTATCAGACTCAAAAAAGTAAAATGCACTGGAGCTAATTAATTATAATGACAATACTCACCAAAGAACTGAGGTTAGAAAAACTTTCTTGTGTTTCAATATTACGTGCAGTACATAAAATATTGGCCCTTGGGGGGATGTGTATCCACCTTTGAAGTGACAAAAAAAGCAAACCTAATAAAGAAGATAGTATGAAAAGGAAACTATTGCTGTAATCTTGCCCTCCATTTAAGATAGATCCATTTTCACTCTTTCATAACAAGCTTTAAGAATCTTTTTTTTTAACCAAAATGAAGAAGCCTTTTCTTATATGGTAAATGAAAACTCAGTGGATTTTCATTGAAGTGCCTCATTTAAATCTTATGTAGTGGTTAAAAGGACTGTAGTTCATTAACTCGGGCAGTTATATTTTGTCCACTAACAAGTTGAGCATTGGAATTTTACATAGAACTGATAAACACAGTCTCCTTCTATCAGATATTGTGTCTGGTATTATCAGCCCCAGCAAAAATAAGGAAGAGAAAGTCCTCTTGGAACCCAAAATTTTAAACCTGGAAGGGAATTTAGAAATACTATAGTCAATCCATATTTCTTCAACTTATTTAATACGTGTAAGTGGGTGGTAAGTTATTAGATTGGTAGGGAATCAGGTTGACCTCAAATTGTATAGAATTAGGAAAAAAGTGGAATTTTTATATTATCCAATATTCTGTATCCTTGGATAGAAATCTATTTCTGTACACTTAGAAGCTCTGTACTTTCAAGTCTTTATTTGAAAATTTTGCTCTCTTATTCTTCACAGCTTCTTCCAAAAACAGATGCTCTGTTTTACCTAAGTGAAAATCATGAAAAAAAAAAGAGATTATAAAACATGAAATACAGAGAGTCGCAGAAGACATGAAATTATAGAGGACTTAAAAGAGTATTGCCATTGGTATCCTTCTTGGAAGGAGGTGGAGTCCCGTTGATATCTGGAAGCAACAGAAAAGGCTCCATGGAAATTTTGAGTGCATTAGGACTGAAAAATCTGTACAAATAGACTACTGTTTTTTACTCTAAGAAATTATTTTTAGGCTTTTTAAAAACATTCATCCAAACAACTTGATTTGGTAAGAAATGTTATGAACAAATGGAAAGAATGTATTTCTCACTGGACACTTTCTTTTTCCATAGATGAAATTGCTATTCCAGATTTTGGCACCGGTGCTATGGAGAACTGGGGCCTCATCACTTACAGAGAAACTAACCTGCTTTACGACGCTAATGAATCAGCCTCATCCAACCAACAGAGGGTGGCCACTGTGGTTGCCCATGAAATCGTGCATCAGGTACAGGGTCGTGGGCATCATATCTGTTTGTTTTAAAAAGTGACTTCAGACCACAGGAATAGTTCAAATTAATTACAACTTAGCAGATAAAAACAGCCAACTTAGAAGATCCTCCATGAAAGTGTTTCATAGTGCTAATAAATATTTACCATAAACAACTTTTAAAACAGATTGTTTTGCCTCTAATAAATACACAGGAGACCTTTGTACAACTTTATAAATTCCCAGTAATATCCCAATAATGGCAATACTTAGGAGAAGTTAAGGTCATTTAACAATCAAGAGAAATAAAGCAGGAAATAAATGCCAAGTACCCTGCTTACTACTTCTGTGTCACACTTGACGAAATGTACATAGATAAGTGTATTGAAGTTTTCTAGGCCTCTATGTTTACTGTAAGCATAACAATTTAATTATCTTTTGATTGCTTATAATTTCAGTGGTTTGGAAATATTGTGACCATGGACTGGTGGGACGACTTGTGGCTAAATGAAGGATTTGCTAGCTTCTTTGAGTACCTGGGAGTAAGCTATGCGGAAAAAGAGTGGCAAATGGTGAGCCATGGACACACAAGCTCCGAAATTTCCATTTCCCTCGTACAGTGTAGTTTGAAGCCTTTGGACTATGACCAGGGTGTTAAGTCAGGGGGTCCAGTACAGTGGTTACTTGGGGATTCCATCGTGAGGATGGGGTGGAGCCAGCTGGCTCCTGCAGAATAGTACCTCATGTAGATCCTATGCCCAGAGGACAGGTGACCAAATGACCACCACAATCTAGGGTTATCTTTGACAGAATCGCTTAAGAACATGTAGCAAATCACACACACACGCAAAAAAATAGCTAGCTTAGAAAATGCCAACTCTGTGTTCATGAAAATATGTACTAACTCCCTGGAAAATTTCTTGCTCATTATAAACGGAAACCACAAAATTGGAAAACTCAAAATAAAACAGAGTGCTTCTCTTTTGGAAATATTTTTAATTAAGGAAGATGGATAAACTTTCTGATTTTTTTGTTTTTGTTATTATTAGTGATTTAAGAGAGCTAGATTTCAGAATCTAATTGTTTAAGGAGCCGAATAATAATAACAGCTAAGGTGCTGGGTTTTCACTGTACCCCAGGTACTATGCCAAATGCCTTGTATGCATTACCTCATTGAATCCTCTGCACAACTCAAAAAAAAGGAGATGCCATCCTTATCCCTATTTAACAGACAAAGGGACTTGCTTGGACTTACACAGCTGGAAGTAGAGAAACTGAGATTTGAACCTTAGAAGTCTGACTATAGGTGTTATCAGTAGAAGAAGGGAAAGAAATCATCACGCAGTGCGAACAATGATTCGTTCAGAAACGTAATGTTTTTTCAAATAATTTGAAAGAGTGGTTTATATTTACTTTGTCCCTAATTTTATTATATAGATGATATTTTAAAATATGAACCGGTATAAAGGAAGTGCTTTATTGCTTTGGTTCATTCTGCCGTTTCAGCATGACCAGATATTACATGACGATGTATTACCTGTACAAGAGGATGATTCTTTGATGTCTTCACACCCAATTATTGTCACTGTGGCAACCCCTGCTGAAATAACATCTGTGTTTGATGGAATATCCTATAGCAAGGTGAGGAAAAGATGACACTGTTTTGAACTTCTTCCTGTTTAGTGACTTTTCTTTTAGTAAATGCCTAAAAAGAGTAAGAATGGTTAGGCTATCTCAGTGGGCTTTGGAAAAACAATGTAGAGCTTACTCTGAGTGCTCAATATTCAAGTTTGTCTTTTTCAGTGCAAACGACCAACGCAGGTGATGGCCGTGGAGTTTCGAATCAGATTTTATAAAATTTTCTCTTTTGTTTATAACTGTTCTCAATTTGATAATCGAACATTTAGACTTTAAGCATCAAACTTAGAATTGTTTTATTTAAACATTATTTAAAAGACAGTAGACCTTTCCCTGTGGTCAGTGAGAATGCTATGTACGTGGATACCTTTTCTAGCAGAATCATTTAGTGTCCCCAGTAAGCCTTGAGGAGCCCTGGTGGCGTAGTGGTTAAGAGCTTGGCTATTTACCAAAAAGGTGGGCAGTTCGAATCCACCAGCCACTCCTTGGAAACCCTATGGGGTAGTTCTACTCCGTCCTGTAGGGTCGCTGTGGGTTGGAGCCGACTCGACAGCACCTGACAACAACATAAATTTTTAAATCCAAGGCAGTTTATTTTTATAGATTGTTAGATAAGATTTAGAGATGACTTTGTTAGCATGTTGCAGAGGTGGCATTTTATCCATTAAAACTCTATGCAAAGTTGCTGAAAATTTATAGTGATGCAAAGCTCTGCTCCCCATTCTCTTTCTCAACGTCTCCTGCAGCCTCTTCTCTGAACACATCCGGCAGCCGTACGTGTATAATTTCCAGTACTTTAGTCATTTTCACCTCTGCTTTCTCATGGTTTATGCACTACACTGAGTTGCTCGAAAGCTACTTCAAACTAATATTTTGGTTTGTTTATCCTGATAGACACCAGGGCGAAAACTGCAGCGCTGGTGGTGCAAGGGTGAAGCACTCAGCTGCTAACCGAAAGGTTGGTGGTTTGAACCCACCAGCAGTTCCGTGGGAGAAAAGACCTGGTGATCTGTTCCTGTAAAGATTACAGCCTTGGAAACCCTATGGGGCATTTCTACTCTGTCATGTAGAGTCCCTATGAGTTGGCATAGACTCGATGGCACACAACAAGATATCTAAGGTTTTATTTAAGTCAAAAAATAGTATAATTATGAAACTAAATACCAGAGAAATTTGGTTTACATGAAAAGCCTTCTACATCTTAGTATGTGAAATTTACAGAATCATGTTTCTTTGGCTTTCTCTCTCAGACAGCTCCCATGACACCTTTTCAGGCTTCTTTCATTCATTTTTCTATCATATTGACAATGTTTCTTTCTATCCTTCAGTTAAAATGAAAATTTCTACTCTGCTTATAGCATATTCTATACTTTTCCTACATGGGAAACTTTTCTATTCATCGAACCAGTTTCTTTTTGAGTACTAGATATTCCATGAGTTTAAGATATTAGGTCAAAATTAAATGTTTCCAAGTGTTTAGCCTTCTACTAGGTGCAAAGATAAGTTAGAATACTTAATATATTACAGTAAAAACTAATAGCTATCTTAACCAGGAGGCAGTGTTGTTCAGGTTATTTATTTGAAGATTGACTTAAAATTTTATAAATAGTGCATTTTAGTATTAATTTTATAACACTGAAAAGAAAGTTGAGAGCAGAAGTATTCATCAAATTCGTCAGACAAAAGAAAATCAATTAAATGAGACCACTTTTGAAGAGGAGGATTTTGTGCCTAAATGATTTATTTAGAGTAAACCATTTGACCAGATAATTCCTCAACTACCCACTTCCTTCTGCTAAATGTTGTTTTTTTTCCAAGTACGGAAATATGTGTAATGAGTAGCCAGAATTTTATCCTGGAACTGCTTTATTTCCTTGTTCATCACAGAATGTGTTTTTTTCTGACATTCTCTAAGAGTTTCTCTTTTATGAGGAAAGCCCCCTCTACTGGTTCATTTGATGAAGTACAATAATTATTTGAACCTCATGTCACCGAAATGATGACCATTTCTCTTTAAACCCATTACCGTGGAGTCAATTCCGACTTACAGCAACCCTATAGGACAGAGTAGAACTGCCTCATAGGGTTTCCAAGGAGCGGCTGGTGGATTCGAACTGCCAACATTTTGGTTAGCAGCCCAGTGCTTAACCACTGCGCCACCAGAGGTCCAATAGAAAAAAAAAAAAGAGTAGAAAATTGTGGGTCTTGTGTGCTCTGTTTAAGATTTGTTTTTGTGTAAAGTTCCCTAAAAGATGTTTTCCAAGATTGGCCTAGCTATTGTTTTTAGACCTCAGGGCCCAGTTGATGTGTCCTTCACTGTCTTCCACCAAGCAGCTGGTGGGTGTGAACCGTTGTTGACCTTTTGGTTAGCAGCCGAGCGCTTAACCACTGTACCACCAGGGCCCTTCCATTTCTTTTTACCTGTTAGTTATTTGAGAAATATAGCTACAGAGGATGTAGCATTTAGAAGTAGAGATACAGGGGGTGTGCCAATTGGTATTTTTCTCCTAGGATCAGATCGTAAAGCCACAACCATGTAATTTAGCAGAATCGTGCTGAAGAAATAATCTAACAAATATGAGCATAAAATGCTAGTCCCAACAGCGATCGATGACTGATACCTATTCCTACATATCCTTTATTAGTTTAATTCTTCATTGTTCTCTGTCTTAGGGCGCTTCCATTCTACGAATGCTTGAAGACTGGATAACACCAGAGAAGTTTCAAAAAGGATGTCAGGTATGATTTATTACTTTCTTTTTTTCAGTTGCCATGGAGCCAATTCCAACTTGGTGATCCCATGTGTGGGTGTCAGAGTAGAACTGTGTGGCTCCACTGGCTGATTTTTTGGAAGGAGGTCACCAGGTCTTTCTTCCAATGCACCTCTGAGTGGATTCAAACCCCCAACCTTTTGATTAGCGGCTATGTGTGTTAACCATTGGCACCACCTAGGGACCTCTCATTACTTTTTATTAAAAGTAAACAACACAGATATGTGCCCGATGGATGCTAAGATAAGTGATCAAGGACAATTTTCTTTTTACTTTTGTTCTTCTTAGTTGGGGATGGATGATAAAGCAAACATAAAAAGATGACTTGACTTCATATCCAATCAAACACTTACATTGTATATGTGATCATCATTTAGCGGAAGTCTTATGGAGAAAGGTTTTAACAGATTACTTAGTTATTTCTGATACCTTTGACATGATATAAAAATTTAAATCTGTCTTCTCTTACAGTGAATATAAAACTTTTTCTTAGTATTGAATTGGAAAATGATTACTATAAATCTTGCTATTATGATGGAGTCAGTGAATAAATAGGGTTTGCTTCCTTTCAGAAACAGAAACGACAATAAACTTTCTAAGGCATTTCGCACGTCCCATTTAAGCTTATTCCTCCCAGCGGGTGTTTGAGTTTCATTTATATTCCTATTGCAGACTCTAAGCCAATTCTCTCATGGTCTTGTATTATCAAAGTAGATACAATGTGTCCCTATAACTGCCCTGTCTACAGATTGGTCCCATTTCAGCCTAGAATTGGAGATGTTTTTTCAATCTTTTGCTTCCACCCCGGTCACAGCTACTGTGATATCCCAGGTAGTTACGCAGAGCTGATCACTCCCAGCCTCTAAACCAAAAAAAGCAGGTCAGAGCAGCACCCCTCTAGTTCTCCCAGGGAGTGCCAGTGCTTCTTTTGGACGCTATTGCCCAGGGCAGCGCCTGCCTACCATTCTTACCGTGCTCACTAGTGCCAACTCTGTGATCGCACCTTAACTGCTCTTCACCTGGCTCCAAATCAGGTGGCATTTAGCACTCTCTATAATGGCACAGTGGTTAAGAGCTTGACTGCCAGCTGAAAGTTCAGGCGTGAGAACTCGCCAGCTGCTGCACAAGAGAGAGATGTGGCAGTCTGCTTCCGTAAAGATTTCCAGCTTTGGAAACCCTATGGGACAGTTCTACTCTGTCCTGTCGGGTTGCTATGAGTTAGAATAGACTCAACGCATCAGGGTGTTTCGGTTATAGTACCAGAGAAGTCCCTGGGTGTTGCAAATGGTTAAGATGCTCAGCTGCCAAATGAAAGGTTGGAAGTTTGAGTCCACCCAGAGGCACCTCAAAAGAAAGGCCTGGAAATCTACTTCCAAAAAAATCAGCCATTGAAAACCCTACAGAGCACAGTTCTGTTCTGACACACACGAAGTCACCATTTGTGTTGACTCGATGACAGTTGGTTATAGTATCAAAGCCCCAAAAGGATGGTCCACTTATAACTCATACTAAGGTTTCTAAAGCAACTAATAAAGTAAGAAGAGCAGGATTTAGCAGCTATTTCAGGAGTGCATTAGTACCTTTTACTCTCCTGTCCATTAATAAAATATTCTGTGTGGACATAAGGTACAAAGGGGGAAGCAAGGTGCCTGTGCTGATGTGTGCATTAAAGTAACTTTCCATTAGCTTCAAACTCAAAATTTCATCATATCCTCTCTCACTGCGAGCACCTTCAGTGAGGAAGTCTGACCCGTGTATCTTCATGCCTAGGAGAATGCATTACACGTATTAGGTGATCAAAAAATGCTTGCTAAATGGAAGAGTAGATAGTCTATAATAAGTAATATATACCATGGAAATAAACAAAGAAAATTTTAAAATTAAGTTAAAATGTCCATTTGTATCGTTTTAATCCTGAATTCAATTACAATTGATGAATAACACATTCTTGGTATCCTCAAAGCTAACCTCAAATGAAATAATCTTTCCTATTAACTTTTTTAGAGAAGTACCAAAAGATTCCTTAAAAAGTGAATAGCTGTAACATAGCTTATAAACAAAATGTTCTACATTCTACTTTGGTACGTAGCATCTGGGGTCTTAAAAGCCTGTAAGCAGCCATCTAAGATACTCCATTGGTCTCACCCCTTCGGGAGCAAGGGAGAATGAAGAAAACTAAAGATACAAGGGAAAGATTAATCCAAAGGACTAATGGACCACAACAAATGGACCACGGCCTCCACCAGACTAAGTCCAGTACAACTAGGTGGTGCCAGCTTCCACCACTGACTGCTCTGACAGGCATCACAATAGAGGGTCCCAGACAGAGCTGGAGAAGAATATAGAACAAAATTCTAACTCACAAAAAAAACCAGACTCAGTGGCCTGACAGAGACTGAAGAAACCCAGTACGGCCCCTGGATACTTTTTTAGCTCAGTAATTAAGTCACTCCTGAGGCTCACCCTTCATCCAAAGATTAGACAGGCCCATAAAATAAAACAAGACTAAAAGGGCACAGCAGCCCAGGGGCGAGGACTAGAAGGCAGGAGGGGACAGGAGAGCTGGTAATAGGGAACCCAAGGTAGAGAATGGAGAGTGTCGACATGTCGTGGGGTTGTTAACCAATGTCATAAAACAATATGTGTACTAACTGTTTAATGAGAAGCTAGTTTGTTCTGTAAACCGTCAGCTAAAGTTCAATAAAAATACACACACACACAAAGTGAATAGCTATCCTAATAATTCAATAATACTCTCACAGTTCCTTTTGCCAAGTACCTATGGTACAATTAGTAAAAATCCAGACAAGTTTAAAACTAATATTTCTCAAGTTAAAATTGTCTGTCTCCAGCCTAACTGTGACTATGGATAGTGCTGGAAACTGAACTAAAATGCACAGATATTAATTTTTCATACCATTATAGTGCAATAAAAAGAATTTACAAAAAAACACTGAAATATTCTTTTCCTTCAGTCTTCAAACACTAGCTATTCTCTGAAAGTAATATATGATAAATATAGGCCACACTCAAAAGCTCTCAAAGCAATTGGAATATTTCTTTGCATAGTTTAAGCATCCAAACACTATTCCTCTTTGAATTATTATAAACACACTCTAACTGCTGTCCCCAAATCCCACAATCTGTGAAATTGGGGTTCTAGGTCTTTCGCTTGCAAATACTAACTTTCTGCCAGAAGTGACTCTCCATTAGCTAATCCAGAAAGACACTAAATCTAGGGATGGCCAGGTATCTGTTTCTCTTTCTGCTTATCACTTTGCCCCAACCCTAACCTCAGACAGCAAAGTAGGTGCAGAGTGAGAGGGGGAATAAGAGCAGATTAATCAACTGGAAAATCTTTAAGGCTGTGTGTGTATATATACATATATCTAACTAAAACCAAACCGATTGCTGTCGATTCTGACTCATAGCGACCCTATAGGACAGAGTAGAACTGCCCTATAGGGTTTCCAAGGAGACGCTGGTGGATTCAAACTGCCGACCTTTTGCTCAGCAGCCATAGCTCTTAATCATTGGACCACCAGGGCTCCTATACACACACACACATAATAGACAATTGGGAAGGTATTTCCACATACTAGGAAACACAGTATGAGAGAGGAAACTGAAAGATATATCCATCCTATCTTTCTGTTCTAGTAGCACACCTGATAAGACAGAAATGGCTCAGCTAGAAAATGTCCTTTCCCTTCTTGGTATACCAGGAACAGAAACATTGCTCCTGTCTTTTTTTGGTGCTCACTAATACTGTCTAATGAGAGGCTATAACCCTAAGTCATCACGTAGTTTTGACTGGAATGACTGCATCATGATAAGTCAAGGTTAAGAAGGAAATTTCTCAATAGAGAATAATCAGAAGAAAAATTAAATTAGTGCCTTTTAATATTCTGTTTGAAGTCCTTGGTGGTGCAAATGCTTAACGCGTTTGACGGCTAGCTTCACCTCAGAAGAAATCCCTGGCAATTTACTTCCCAAAAATCAGCCATTGAGAAACCCTGTGAAGCACAGTTCTCCTCTGACACCTATGAGGTGGTCATGAGTGGGAATCAACTCAATGACAATTGGTTAATGTACTCGTCTTCAAATTTTCATTCAGCCTCTAGTTAAGAGGAAGCCAGATATTGCAAAGAAGACAACAATAATAAGGATGATGATAAAAACCACACACCACACACCACACACATTTGTCTGGGAGTCAGAAGTCTCAATTTCTCGGCACAGCTCTTCATAGTAACCTCAGGCAGATATCTTCACCTCTCTAGGCATTATTTTCATTCACCCAAAAAATGTAGGAGTTGTATTAAATGGTATTTAAGGCCACTTCTAGTTCCAAGAGTACATGTTTCTAAGCTCAAGATATTGTGAGTATACAAACAAGAACCTCTAAATTACTTTGAAAGCCAATTTTAAGATACCATTCAACAGAAATTTCTGTGAACAGGAAACTTTGGTTATAATTATTACCATTCAGAGAATTCAAATATTTTATTAAGATAGAATGAATGATTCTTTGAAAACTCCGCCATGAATACCTACAATTGATACACGGTAACTCCTCTAGAGCCTTTCATTTCTTCTGCCTTCCTTTGCCTGCCCTCTGGTGGTAGTGCTGAGTAGTGAATTAATCACAAGAGCAAACGCGAAAGTGGCGTTCCAAACCTCCCTCAGCTCTCTTCCAGGTTGCTTGCAGCAGTTCTGTTAATATTGTTTTATCTCTCTATCCCTGGGAAGAAGAAGAATTTAGAAGATAATGTGCCTTAGGTCCCGCACCTACTGAAAATTATAGCATCTTAGGTGAAAATCATATGCGCAAATTTAACCATTGGTTATTTTCTTTGAGCCTGAATACTTAAGAAGGTTCTATTTCTTCCAAAGACTTCTACTTTTAACGGGATGATTCTAAAGAATAACAGAGGAGTGATACAGCAGAAACTTTGGAAGGGCTCCTGGAGACCCACAGGTGGCACCAGTCATGAGATTAGGAGAACACTTGGAATTTTCTCTGGCAGCATCACACTAGATCTGAACACTCGTTTATTGAGAGAGATTTTGTGAATTAAATTTCCAAAGGGGGTGCCTTCTATGAAAAGATTCATGTTTTAAAAATGTTTGAAGAGTGAAGAATTCTTCTTAAAGCAAATAATTCTCCCAATTCATCTTTTATTGTTGTTTCTTGATAGTTTTCAAAAAGTTGTCTATTCATTTCCTTAGAGCAGGGGTCTGCAAACTATTGCCTGTAGACCAAATCTGTCCCTCCACCCATTTCTGTAAAACCCGCAAGCTAAAAATCAAAAGAATCCTATTTTGAGACATGTAGGAATTATATGAAATTCAACTTTTATTGTCGGTAAGTACTGTTTTGTTGGAAGACAGTCAGGCTCATTCGTTTAGATATTGTCTGTGGCTGCTTTCGAGCTATAAAGGTAGAGTTCAGTGGTTATGATAGGAACTAAATGGTCTACAAAGCCTAAAATATTGACTATCTAGCTGTTTACAGGATAGATTTGCCAGCCTGTGGCTTCGAGCCAAGCTCAGCTGTTTTGTCTTTGCCTATCACCATTCACTTGCGTGTGACGCGGCCACCTAGTGTCTGAGTTGAGAACGCCCCGCTATGAATGAAGGTAGAGGATGCAGCCAACAGTGAGCAGTTTAATGACACCAAGTACAGATCAAAGAATTATGGGTCTCTTGTCATAGTCCGTTAAGAGCTATGGTTGCTAACCAGAAGGTCGGCAGTTCAAATTCACCAGAAGCTCCTTGGAAACCCTAGGGGGCGGTTCTACTCTGTCCTATAGGGGCGCTATGAGTCAGAATCGACTCGACGGCAACAGGTTTGGTTTTTTTTTTTTTTTGGTTTTTCACAGTCAAGAAGCCCTGGTGGTGCAGTGGTTAAGAACTCGGCTGCTAACCAAAAAGGTCAGCAGTTTGAATCCACCAACTGCTCCTTGGAAACTCTTTAAGGCAGTTCTACTCTGTCCTATAAGGTCACTATGAGTCAAAATCGACTTGGCGGCAATGGGTTTTGTTTGGTTTTTGGTCTGTCATAGTCAAAAGGAGTCCCTGGGTGGCACAAACAGTTAAGCACTTGACTACTAACCAAGAGGGTGGCAGTTAGAACCCACCCAGAGGTGCCTTGGAACAAAGGCCTGGTGATCTATTTCTAAAAGATCACAGCCTTGAAAACGCTATAGAACAGTTCTACTCTGCACACGCGAGGTTGCTATGAGTCAGAATCGACTCAATAACTGGGTTTTTTTTTGTTTGTTTCTTCATAGTCAATGGATCAAAAACATTTACGGACTGCTGACTGCTTGCTGAGCACGTGGCTGCTCTTAAGTATCTTATATTGCTTGTCCCAAAACAATTAAACTTTTTCCCTTTTCTGGCTGCAATTCTATTAGACCAAACAAACAAACGTATCATAGTGATCTCAAGAAAGTCTCCATTATGTTTTACAAATAAAATACTATTTGTACAGTGTTTTTATAGTTTACAAAGTGTTTTGCATACAGTTTATCGTTTGATTTTCATTTTAAGTAGACATTAGAATGAAATACGAGTAGGAGTTCTGCTCATGTTGTAGAAGTGTGAGAAAAGCAAACATTGACTTTTAAAATACTTACTATCTTTTACAACAGATTTATTTAGAAAGATATAAATTCAAGAATGCAAAGACATCAGATTTTTGGGGAGCACTGGAAGAGGTAAGGAATAGTGTGCCTTCAAATATTATTCACTGCTACCAGTCACTTTTTTGTCTAATTATTATGTTCTTTTGTCTCCCTTATTTGTTAGTTAATTAATCTCCATGTTTTTTAAATGTTAGGCAAGTAATCTACCAGTGAGGGAAGTAATGGACACCTGGACTAAACAGATGGGTTACCCTGTGCTTAATGTGCAAGATATGGGGAACATCACACAGAAACGTTTTCTGTTGGACTCAAAAGCTAATGCCTCCGAGCCACATTCAGAGCTTGGGTAAGGCTCTTTAGTACATTTCAAAAGGGAAGAAGAAAATTGGTGGAAATACTGGTCACTTGCCTTAGATCTTCCTCTTGGGTGTATGTTTAATAAGTGATGGTATGTTTAATAAGTGATAGTATAAAGGAACAGTACCTTTAAGGAAAAAAGTATTCGAAAATAGCTGAGTGGTCTCCAGGTTCAAAATGGTGGACTGAACACATGCTCCATGCCCTGTTCTTCCAAGATATGGTGGCATAAAGGAATAGAGTTACTAAAAGTAAAAAACCGTTAAGAGTGAAGAAGATAAAAGAAAGGAACCATATGCATCATGGAATTCTAGAAGGAAAAATAATGACCGAAAACAAACTGAGGAAGATGCAGCCACTTAATAGTAAGGAGCCCTGCAATGGAGGTGGGAGCTGATTTTCCCTTTGGCTGAAGAGGTTGGGCTGTGTCAGCATGAAGAGTGGAGGGCAAGAGTGAGAAGTGAGACTGAAAACAGGGCAATTCATTTGAAGTCTAGACTTAGGACAGTTGTACCCTTCCTCCTCCACCTTCTCTTCATCCACTCCCACTCCTTCCTCTGCACAGAGCTCCCAGAAGTCTGGCGTTTACCCCAGACAAAACTCCAGAGGGAGTTTTTTTTTCCCCCTAAAGAAATTATATAAACAGCTGAGGAGAGCTAAGGATTTCCATTTAGTTGGGACCCCAGAGTATTTGTGGCATTTGTGGGCTGGGTGGGCTATACTAGTCCACCCGCATCCATGCACAGAGCTCCCAGTCAGACATCCCATTCAGCACAGAAGTCTGTCTCAGAAACATACCTCTCTTCTCAACTGTAGAGGAATTACATACTAGCCACCGACAAGTATCAATTTAGTCTTCTTTTTTAAATATGAATGGACAGTCAAGGATCACAAGACACCTGAAAAAAATCTAGAAGCATGAAAGATAATGTCTCATCTGAACAAACAAAAAAACTCACTCTAACGGAAACATAAGTGAGGAAACAAATTTTTTTTTTAACATATTCAAGGATCCAAGATGCTATTATACTCACTAAACAGAACAGAGAGTCTTGGAAAAGGACAGACAGAATAGAAAAGAGCTCTGGAAGTATTAGAAGAAGGAATCTATTTAACCCTGATGTTAGGGAAACTTTTATTTGAGTGGCTCAGGGGCCATGAAATCTGACCATAGGAAAAAAAGATATAACTCCAATACGCTTCTTGGCCTACAATATGTATATAACATAATTTCATAAATGTTATTATTGGCTTTTAACTTTTATAGTCACCAAAAGATAACATATGTAAAATTTTGCTGTGGTGGCAGAATAGATTGTAAATATAAACAAGCTTGGCATTGTAACAGGGAAAAGGTAGCCGGAAGAGAAAAGAGGTAGAAGGAGGAGAAAAGGTAGAAGAAGGTGTACGGACACAAATTCAGTGGTGTGCTGGAGCCAGCTCTCTTCCCGACTCCTTGTTACGTGGGTAGCTTGAAATTGGTTACAGAGAGGAAATTACATAGAAATGGGCAAACACTATGCTTTCCCTCCCTGAGAGCCAGTTGTTAAGCATTTACCAGCACTCCACTGGATATACACATTTCAAAAATTTATGAAACAAGAAATTACATTATGAGTATATTATTTAAAGATAGAAATATATCCTATATAACATCTAAAAATAATTATTTTTCTTTATTAAATTTGGCTGTTAAGGTGGAAATGGAAGAGGAAGTAGTATAGATAAGCTAAATCACCCTGTCTCCTAGGTGAGTTAATAAATATTGTCTAAATCAAGAAATAGAGGTATTTAGAGTTACAGTGTTAGATATCAGAAGAAATAAATACAGAAGCACTTAAAAACGGTTGCCTCTGAGAGTGGCCCTGCCTTTTGGGAAGGTGGAGAAAGAGACTGTGGCTTTCCGATGCTAGCTTTTCTAGTTTTTCCTTAATGATGCATTTATTTTAAACTTTTACAAAATTAAATTCTCCCGAACATTTAAACAGCATTTACAAAGTAAATCAGTCAAATCCTCTATTTCAGCCCAGCCCCAGCTTACTCAGCCGAATGCCTTCCTAAAATGGATCCTGCCGAAATAAGAGTAACAGTTTATCCCTGGTCTCCCAGATACTCTTCCAGTTTCACCTGAGCCTAATTTTTTATTGTCCTGTCTTCAACTTTTTAACACTTTGTCTGTTGTTGCTAGTTACTGTCAAGGGGATTCCAACTCATGGTGACCCCATGTGTGCAGACTAGAACTGCTCCATAAGATTTTCCAGGCTGTGACCTTTCAGAAGCAGATTGCCAGGCCTGTCTTCTTAAACATCTCTGGGTGGGCTTGAACCACAAACCTTTTGGCTAGTAGTCCAGAGCCTCAACTTTTGTGCCACCTAGGGACTCTTAACACCCCGGGTGGCCTCTAATCTCCCCTGGCTGATTTTCACTAAAGAGACTCTTCACCCTCTTTGTCTCTTTCTTAAGGGTCTCGTTCACCTTGTTTTATAGTCACTTACTTAGAAATCATCACGAGATCAATTATTCAGTAGCAATTAGGATAACAGGAGGAAGGAGAATTACAGGGTGTTAAGAAGATGTTTCAGAGGGGTGCCTGTCTTAGTTATCTAGGGCTACTATAACAGAAATACCCTAAGTGGGTGACTTTAACAAACAGAAATTTATTTTTACCCAGTTTTGGAGGCTAGAAGTCCTAATGCAGGGCACCAGCTCTAGGGGAAGGCTTTCTCTTCTGTTGGCTCTGTGGGAAGGTCCTTTTCTCTTTCTAGCTTCTGTTCTTCGGTTCCTTGGTGATCTTCATGCGGCATAGCTTCTGTTTTTCCCCATCTGTGCTTGCTTGCTTCTGTGTTAATCTGCTTTTTTTATATCTCAAAAGTGATTAGTTTAAGACACACCCTACCCTGATATTTATCCATTAACATAACAAAAGAAAACCTTATTCCCAAATGAGATTGCATCCAAAAATCAGGAGTTACTATTCAAACACATATTTTGAGGGAACACAATTCAATCCATAATAGCACCTGAATTAATTGGTGGGGCAGGGTGGGGTACAAAGGGTCACCGAAGGCTTTCCTGAGAAAATGATATTTAAATTCAGCAAATGGGAAGGGGCAGCTAGTGCACAGGATGTTCAAAACAGAGACTGCCACACGTGTGAAAGGCCCACTGTTATGAAAGAGCGTTGTACATATAATAACCTGCAACACTTATTGAGGATTTACTATATGGCTGACACTCATTAAACACCTTGAATGTATTTTACTATAATAGATGAGGAAATTGAGGCAGGGTGGTTAAGCAACTTGCTCAAGGTCACAAAGATAGTGAGTGATAGAGACTTGATTTGAACTCAGGAGGTTGGTCTCCAAGAAACTGGACAGCAGAGAGTTATTGGGAAGAGGTGAGGAAGAGATGAAGTGAATGAGGAAGGCAAAGGCCAGGTTGTGCCGACCAAGTTAAAGATTTGGACAGTAAAGAGCAGATTAAAAGATTTTGAGTAGATAATTGGCATGATCTCATTTACTTTTTTCGAAGTTCTCCTCTGGCTGCACTGTGGGAACTGGATTAGTTGGGGTTGGGGCAAGACTGGGAGCAGGGAGACCAGTGAGGACTACACTGCAGTGAGATCTGGGAGAGTTGATGGGCCTGAACCAGGAGAGTGGCCATGGGGCTGGAGGGGCATGGCAGGTGTTCCAAAGATTTGGTTGAGCTAAAATTTCCCACATCTGTATTAAAGTATGAACAATGTATAGGGAATTCAGTCAGATGAATTTGTGGTGGACAATCTCATTTGAGACTATTGTTCTCATCTTGTTCTATAGTGGTCACAGCCATGTTTCTAGAGAACTGAAAGCTTTTTATAGACACCGTTTATGATTTGTACTTTCAGAGGTAGGTAACAGAGCCTGTTTTCTGGCTGCCATTTGGGGACTTCGGGAACTAAGTCACACTAACAGCACACTTGGCAGTTTCAAGAAGCTTGAATTGCCAAAATGCTTTACTGTTAAAGGTGTCACAATATTAAATTATCTGCTTCCCAGATGTTGGTTGGTATCAGAACAGAGAAACATCAAAGAAGGCAGTGGTACACACCTTCTCCGGGCCCATGACCTGCTTTTCCTCCTCGAAAACTCAGAAACTCAGCCCTCCCACAGTAAATGAAACTCAGAGAAATTAGGTATCTTGCTGTAATGCAAGTTCTGTAAATTAATAGTTCACACTACAACAAAGGAAAATTTGAGTACTTAGACCAATACAACGTCACTCAGGGAGGGTAATTCTGGGAAGATGGCAGCCTGAGCAGGTCTGAGTCCCCAGCCTTCACCACGGGTACATGAAGAAACACAATGAGAAACCTGTGCTCAGCCCTGTGGGACTCAGAATTGGTGGGGAGAGGACAGCAGCATTGATGGGGTCAAGAAAGCCAGAGGAGACTTCAGCACCCGTTGTCACTGGCTAAGGGCTGCATCCAGGAGGATGTAAATTCTCAGGCTCTTCATGCTCTCCTTGCTTCAGTCTTCTGAAGGAGAGATGCAGGTGCTGACTGGGGTCCAGAAGCATGAAAATGACAAAGGGGACTGAGGGGATAAGGGTAGAGCACTAACAGTATCTGCCAGAGGATGCAAGAAACAATTTATGTGATGGCTGTATGAAAGTTACAGCCAAAAACATTCTACCCCAATAAAATCTCCAAGGGAGCTACTAAAAACCCAATCCTAGAAAACATTTCCATAGTTATAAAACAAAGGATAATACTTTCATATAGATAGCAAAAAATATATTCTCCCTGATTACATAATTCTTACTATATCTTGAAAAGTAGAAATGTCAACCCTCATTCCCTGTTAGGAACTTGAATGATCACAGAAAACGAAAAACAAGACCAATCTGAGTTGAAACCTGAACCAGCCAATGGTACGTAGATTCACCTTCTCTCTAGATTTCCTGACCAATATGAGATGACATGAGAGCAAAGGATCAAAAAGACATCTAAGGTCTCTTTTGTAAGATTTCAAGACTGAAATGTTAAGTATATATTATGTAAAATACAAAACTAAAAGCAAAAAAACAAAGAAACCATGCCTTCTCCCCTCCCCACCCCACAAGGAAATACTACGTAGCTAAAGAGAAGAAAGTTGTAAAACCCTAAACATGCTTCCTTGGTGATTTTTCCTTTGCAGCACGCTGGTTCACAGAATTCTAAAGAACAGATATTTATGTAGAGTATACCATGCGAAGCTTTGGGGAATGGTGGTGGTAGTATAATTTTAATATAATTTCTAAAACATGTTATTTCCTTTAGAGTATTTCTGAATTCCAAAAATGCTTTGTGTTCCTTGAAGGAGAATATAGCATATTAGAGTATGTGCAAGAACGCACGTGAATGCTTAATATTATAATTTAATGTGCTGTATTTATGCAATATCTTTATTGCAAAACCTCAAGGCATTTAATTGAAATAATCTTCTGAGTTCTTAGCTAACTTTTTGGTGCAAAGTTCTGCATTTCGTAGATTTATAGAAATTGAGAGCAGTTACAAGGCTTATCCTCATCACTAAAGAGTGCTGTATTACCTGTATTAATTGTATACATTGGATGATCATCTACAAGGAAAATATGCTGGTCTATGACTTTTTATTTATTTTTACTTTTTTTATATTTCAGAATAAAAGTTAATTTTTTCTTTCTTAAAAATTTTAGTTACACATGGAATATTCCAATTAAATGGACTGAAGATAATCTATCAAGTATTACACTCTACAATAGGTCAGAAGAAGGTGAATATCAGTAATTCATTTGTTTTGTCTTTGAATTAATATACTACTTTAAACTAATATGTGTAAAGAAGCAAAAATAAAGCTGGAACTTATTGTGTAAATTTTAGCTAAAATAGACCTCAGGTAATTTACTGATGATTCTATAACTTTTACCTACGATAATGAGTAACTTTTCTACCTTGAGATATTCTTTTTAACGGTTTACTGTGACTATGCACTAATAAGTATTATATCCAAAAGAAAAGAACCACATACTCAATCATTAGAAGAACAACATACAAGTTTTCTTCCTTCCCTCCCTCCCTCCTTCTGTCCCATCCTTCCTTCTTCTTTCCTTTCTTTCCCTCCCTCCCTCCCTTTCTTTTGTTTCCTTTTTGCTTTGCTTTATGTGAGTAAGTCATTGAATTTTCTTTTCAAATGCTGACATTACATTAGATGAATCATCATTCCAAATCAGCATGACAAGAAGGATTTCTTAATGACTCTCAATTATCTGTTCTAATTTTTCACCAATAACTTAAGGCTCAAGGTACTTTTGATACATATTATATATGTTTGAAATAATCCCTTAATGAATTACTTGATACTTGTCTGTGTTAAAATTCAGCTGTGACTGTTCTGCTCACTTAAATTGATTTGAAATATATTTGTTTTCAATCTCCATTGATTTGTCTTTTCTTTACTTGAAAAAAAATTAATTACATAAAAACAAGAAGATCTTATCACATGCTCTCTTCTCCAGATTGCTGAAAAAATAATAAGGCAGGTTTTAGCATAAATTCCGAAGACTCTTGCTTTTTTGTCTTATCTATGACAAACTAGTCTCCTTTGCTTCATCCCATAAAGATTTGGTTTCAGAATAACATTTGGTTTGGACTTTCACTCATGGTGTCTTAAGGGTAAAAGTAGATCACTTATCCTTTATTTACATACACCTATTTGCTCCTGCAATATATTCTAAAATATTAATTAGGTATGATTTCCCCCTGTAACTTTTTACCGTTTCTGGTAGATTTTTTTGAAACAACTTTATTGAGATATAATTCATATGCTATACGATTCACCGATTTAAAGTGTGCAATCCAGGGGTTTTTAGATATTCTCAGATACATGTAACCATCACCACAGTCAATTTTAGAATATTTTCATTACCTCAAAAAGAAATCCAGTGCCCATTAGCTAACCATCCCTTCTACTCTCCTACTCTGTTGCCTGCAGCCCCAAGTAGCCACTAACCTACTTTCTGTCCATATAGATTTGCTTATTCTGGATGTTCCATATAAATGAAATCATATAATACGTGGTCTTCTGCAAATGATGTTTTTTGCTTAGCGTAAAGTTCATGCGTGTTGTAGTATGTATTAACACTTCATATCTTATTATTGTTGAATAATATTCCATTGTGTGGATATACCACAGTTTGTTTATCCATTCATCAGTGGATTGACATTGTGTTGTTTCCACCTTTGGCTATTACGAAAATGCTGCAGCAAACATTTGTGTAAAAGTTTTTGTGTGGATATAGTATGTTGGATTTTTTGTTTGTGTTTTTTTAACCTTTGGAGTTTGTTTTGTTTTGTTTTGTTTTTCAGTTTTATTATAAACTCTTGTATGATTTTGACTTTCACAGTAAACTCTAGCAGCTTTCCCACTGTGGTGTGAGACTCCTTTCTGGAGCCCTTCTCAGCAGGGATTGCTTTTGCAACAAAATTTTGTGTTGGTTAACATTCACATGAACCTTGTAGTCAGCAAGTCTCCTGAATTCTTCCAGAACTTCCGGGTCAAAGCCATATTGTTTTAGTAATTTACATACAGTTATGTCGTATTTGAGTATCAAGCTCTATCTTGTATCGTCTATCTTTTAGTCATTTTCTTACTCATAAGGGCATTTATGAAAGGAAAATTAAAAAGACAGAAAAAAAGGAGACTTAAAAAAGTGTGTAATAGCACTGATAAAAGGCATGATAAGAAGGGTAGGATTCTACTGGGAGGTTTTCAGTGGATTTGGTTTAACGATTGCTACATCGTTTTTCCATTGGTCACCAAGGGTACTTGAGGATTAGAGGAATTTCCCTCTTGGCAGCTGTTTGAATTGCTGTTTACAAATTTAAAAGTATAATTAATTCATCTACCTTAACACAGTTACCCAGCATCTTCATAGAATGAGGTGTCCACACAAGTAAATTTTCCAGATAACTGAAGTTTACTCAAGTATTTCATAAAAAAGTCAAGTGTTAACAATACACATTGTTCTAATATGTATTATGAACCCATTAAACAGAATATCCTGAATAATGAATTTAATTTTTAATTCATTGGTTAAATAATTATTTCAAGCAAGTATACTGAGAACTAACTTATGTGCCAGGCAATGAGGTATGTGTGGAGATAATGCTGCCAAAAAAAACTTCACAACCTTTATCTTTGTGGAATTTATTATCTAGGGAGGATCCAGATGGGTCAGCAAATAAATATAATATTGTGTTGTGAGCACCTGGTGGGGTAAGGCAGGGTGCCAAGGGCATTGACTGGAGAAACACCAGCCCAGACTTGAAGGTTCAATGAAGGTTACTAAAGAAAAGGCATCCAGGCCAAGAGTTAAGGGGCTAAAGGTAGAGCTGAGATGGATGAAAGGATTGACCAGCTATAGAGGGGCTGTGTGTTCTGGACAGAGTGCTAGTCTAAAGTGAGAGAACAGGGAGGTCTCACAGCTCCTCTCCATCGCTCCGTCATTTAAGATTGTTTGCTGTGCCTATCGACTTAGCTATGTTTCCTCTCCCAACAGAATAGTCCTCAAGGAAACAGAGCTTATCTTTTTGTTGTCGTTGTTCTGTATCTCCAGCAGACAGTACTATCAGGCACATAGTAATTGTTTATTGAATGAATAAATGAAGCAACCAGTGAATGAAAAGGTGCTGATGTCCACAGGGCTTTAGTGACAAATCTACTTTTATCTGAAACTTCAGAATCATGACTGGCCACTTAGCCAGAGGCAGACTGGACATCTCTTCCTACTTCAAAGTCACTGTTGCATTTTTAGGCTCTGCAATGAGTTCCTGTTTCCTGTTTAAGGACGTCTTCAGCTCTCAGTACAGAACACAGATGACGAACATGTCCTGAGTTTACTGAATGGACAACCAGCTCAGGTTACCAGCCCTCCCTCCCTTCTCTTGGTTTCCTTGATGATTCATCAGTTAGAAAATTCCCAGGCAGTAGTGGGACTTTCTGCTAAGGTCTTTTATTTATATTTCTTTTGTAGATAATGTTTTATACGTGACAAAAATTAAACATGGAGTTTCTAACAAAAGAAGAGGACCTCTATCACAAAACCACCTCTGGTTATTCTAGTTCACCCTGAATAATCTCTCACCTCACTTTCTTGTGGTATATTTTATGTTGTCGGTTTCATCCATCCTTAGACTCCTTCAATTATTACCTTCTAACTTTAACAGCATCCTTGTTATTTAAGCTTCACGTGCTCTCTCTCTTTTTTTCAACTAAATTATAAGCTCCTTGAAATCACAAACTATGCGTCATACTTCTTGTCCTCAGGCCTCCATAGTTCCAACAAGGTACTGTGCGTATCCAGACAGATTAGATGTTCTTGCTTAAAAAGGATTGTTTGCCCCAAACTGCTGTACTTTTTGAGATGGTCTGTGTATATTCTAGTATGTCTCTGTCGTTAGTATCGGCTACTATTTTGGCTATTTTCAGTGCCTCCACGTTTATTTTAGTGGTACATCACTTTTCAGCTTTTAATTTGCTGCTTTCTAACACTTATAAGGAATTAAAGGTAATCACATGATATGAGATCTCGCTAAAAACATAATATTTTAAAACAGATGCTGGTAAGTCCATAGGGTCTGGGAGCGGATCTAGGAGCTAGGAAATGATACAGACTTTGTGATGATTGTTTTCTTAACTCCTACTTCCAGATTCGAGGATGTATTCTAGAAGGTTTATATAACCAAATTCTAGCTCTCATAGAAATAGAAAATTATTAAAATTTTGTAATAGTTGTATTTAAATATTTCATATCAAAATGATGATGTGCATACTGTTTTGGTATTTAATGACAAAGACTCATTTAATGAGCTGAGCCTCGGTGGAATATGTCCCAACTTTGATTGGATCATTATAGATTCAATGACTGTTGCTCTGTTTTCCTGGGTCAGAAGCTCAGTTTCATCCGTTCAGCTCTGGGCAACCAATCCTTGGGATATTTATTCGTATAAACCAAACATAAGAGAGATTATCCAAAAATGCTAATTTCTTAACTTAAGCAGATAAAATCTACTGGCCAAGTGAACCAGAATACTCATGTCAGCTAATTAAGGTCCTCTTCCCAAGAAGATAGTTTACTTAGTAAGGGTAAAGGGAGAGTTAAGATAGTTCAATTATTTTAGAGATGTCATCAATCTATGGCAGCCTTATATATTACATTAGCCAAAGGAGTCTCAATGTTGCTTTTGGAGACTGTCAATAGTGGCTTGGTGCAATAAAAGCTTCCTGTTCATGCAAAAATCCAACTGAAGTGTTACTGACTAGGCACCTCTCTGAGGTGACTCTCTTCCAGATGATGACTTAGAAGCCCTGTCTTCTTCTGGCTCCACCACCACTTGGAGTGGAGTCTGTTGCTGGATCTTTTGCCTCTGGCCAGCAGACAGGGGAAGATAATGGAGGATTTTATACACCAGGTCTGTTCATTTGATGGTTCAGTGGTAGAATTCTTGCCTTCAATGCTGAACACCCGGGTTCAATTCTGGACCAGTGCCCCTCACGCGTAGCCACCACCCATCTGCCAGCTTACATGTTGCTAGGATGCTGACAGGTTTCAGCACAATTTCCATACTAAGATAGACAAGGAACAGTATAATTTCAAATGAAAAAAGGTTACTAATCATAAAGAGTAGGATCCCATTTTGTGTGTTGTGTATTTATGTGTGTGTGTAGAAAACAAACACACAAAAACACATGTAGAAGATAAACAACATAGTGTTAACTGTGATGGGTAACTTTATATTCTTCTTTATACTTTTTTTTGTATTTTTCAAATGTTCCCCTAAAGAATACATACTACTGTTATAATCAGAAAAAAAAAGTATTAGTAAATGAGCGATACGGAAGGAAACACACCGTTACTTCTGTACACCGCCTGGAATAAGCATCAGCATTTTAGTCCTACTTACTTCATCACGTAACTAAACAATCCAATGGTATTTTGCTGTTGACAACTGTTCTGAAAGTAACACGAACTTGGAAAGTCCTTAACTACTGCCTTCCTGGATCTCAGCTTCCTCATCTATAAAGTGAGAAAAATCACAGTAACTCTAGACAGGCTTAACTGTCTAGAGGCACACATAAAGCACACTAAAATACTGCAGTATTTAGATTGATTGCCAAGAACTTCTCAATGTTATTTATATTTGGTTTGCTATTTATAGAAAAGGCAGCATATCTCCTTTCATAATAACGTGGAGAGCTACCATCTGTTGCACACATAACTATGTGGCCGACACTGTACCTATATTAACTTATTTAATCTTCACAATAGCCCCATGAGGGAGTTTTATCCCTATTTCCCTCATGGTGAACTGGAACACAGAGAGGTCAAGTGATTTGGCCAGCGTCACACAGCTAGTAAGTTACAGAGTAAGGATTTTATCCTGTGTCTGTTGGACTCAAAAGTTCATGCTCTTTCTTGTGTAACATATGGCTCTATGCTTAGCAAGAGACACTCTTCCCGATACAAACATTCAAAGTGTACATCTGCCAAAAGATTAGCTTCCTTTCAACAACTTCTCCATGGGAGAATGACAAAGAAAGATAAATACTCCATGAGTGAGGTAAGAGTTTATAATTTGTCAAGTACCTACTCTGAAAGTTTCTAAAGAAACTTATTGTCTTGTTGAAGAGTTTATCCATATATTATGAAAAACTACTGTGCCCTGGATATCTTCCAGGCCTTGCAAACACTTCCAAAATTTAAATCATCTTTCCTCCCAAACTTAACTCATCTTCCTCTATTCTCTACTGGAAATGCCATAATTCATCCAATCATGCAAGTTATCTTCCCCTCCCCTAACTTTCCACATCAAGTCAAAGAACAAGTTGTGCTGATTGTACCTGTGATGGGTCTCTTGAATACATCACCTCCTTTCTAGCTTCATCATCTCAACATTAGTGTAACCCCTTATCCTCTCTTGCCCAGATTATTACAGTGAACTCTGAGTTAGTCTTTTTGCCCTAGACTGTCCTTCCACTCTACATCCCATTGTTGTTGTTGGCTACCCTTGAGCTGGCCCTGATTCATGGCAATCCCATCCACAGCAGAAGGATTCACTTCCCAGTCCTGTGATAGGTTACGGATCAAACTTTTGAGCCATAGGATTTTCACGGGCTAATTTTCTGAAGTAGATAGCCAGGCCTTTCTTCCCACCTCATCTTAGGCTGGAAGCTCAGCTGAAACCTGTTCAGCATTATAGCAACATGCAAGCCTCCACTGACAGATAGGTGGTGGCTGCGCATGAGGTGCCTTGGCCAAGAATCCAACCCACGCCTCCCAGATTGGAAGACAAGAATTCAACCACTGAACCACCACTGTCCCCCTCTATCCCATGCCACTATCAAAATTATCTTTCAAGAAAAAGGACTTGAACATATTATTTCTCTGCTTAAAAATCTTTCCTATCTTCCCACCTCTCAGAAGATGAATTCTTTAACATGGCATGTGTCTTCCAATTGAAGCACCAACCTATATTTCCAACCTCATCTCCTATTTCCCAATACACACTCTACATTTTTACTACATCAAACTAATTGAAATTACTCAGATATATGAGTTATTCCCACACGATTATTTCAATTGTATACTGTCCGTGCAAACAAAGAGAAAAACCAAACCCATTGCTGTCGAGTCTATTCTGACAGGGACCCTGTAGGACAGACTAGAACTGCCCTACAGTGTTTCCAAGGAGCAGCTGGTGGACTAGAACTGTTGAATGTTGGGTTAGCCGTTGAGCTCTTATGTGAATTGCAAAGTATAGGATTAATATAAGTAACAATAACAAATATGGGCCAAGTCAGACCATAGCTATTATTTTAAGCAAGGTAATTAACTTCAGTAGCTTTTACCTAAAACGTAAGTCTCTGATCCTTCAATGTTGGGCTTCTGAAAGCTATATACCAAGCCCTGTGCAAATACTGGATGCTACTTTAGCGTAAAAGTTAATTTGGCAAATCCGTTGATGAAAATGCATTGATGTCATCAGTTGAAATAAAGAAGTAAAAGACTACAAGATAAATAAAATTGGAAGAGCAAGTATGAAAAGGGTTGCAAAATCCAGAATGTTGTATTTGGATTTCAGTTCTATTACAGGCCTGCTTGACATTTTAAAAGTGCTACTGATTCTCAAATCATTATGCTGCTTCACAATAGCCATTTCCATCAACTTGAAGGTAGATTTGAATAAACAAAGTATCCTTTTAAATGTTTACATTTTATCCCCTCCGCAGGCTTCCCCAGTGAATATTCTTTGTGTAGTTAATCCATTATGATTAGAAATATATAGACTACCCCCAGGAGGCACGACTTCTGTCTTTAGGCATTGTTTTCTTTTATTGAAGGATTGACAAGAGAATTGTTTCACCCACTTGCAAGCTTCTGCCAGTAAGAAGTTTAAGTCACAAATTACAGGATACTTACATTACTGATTTCTTTTTCAGCTCCTGCACTCCAGTGACATTCTAAAGTTAGGCAACTAAATAAGAATTAGGCTTTGGGGTTTGGGACTGAAATCAAACTTGACTCCTTGAGCTAATACATTTCTTTTCTTTTCTGATCTTTTTACCCTCTGGGTCTAATTTCTCTATGTTTACAGTATATGCAAACATGTTTCTCATTAGAGTTTATTTACTACCACAGGAATCACTTTGAACTCTTCTGATCCCAGTGGAAATACTTTTCTCAAAATAAACCCAGATCATGTTGGATTTTATCGTGTAAATTATGAAGCACAAACTTGGAACAAACTAGCAGAAAATCTCTCCTCCTCCCACATGGTAAGAGATAGCAATGGCTGTGAACTGTTATATTTTTATTCTAATAACAACGTCTTAATGGGATTAATTTTTTTCAACACATTTTACTGGATTTAAGAATATGTCTCTTACCTCTTTTTCCTCCTCTTTCCAGGACTTTTCTTCTGCTGATCGTGCAAGTCTTATTGATGATGCTTTTGCCTTGGCAAGGTGAGTTTTAGAGTGAGGCAAGATTCTTTCAAATACCATGGGTTTTATTATAAAAATATTCTTTTTTTATGGATATAATTTTTTTAGCATACATTGTTATGAGACCCCAACCACTCACCCCATTCTGCGACAGCACACTCCTCCTCTCCGCCCCTGATTCCCCATGAACATTCAACCAGCTCCTAACTCTCTCTGCCTTCCCCTCTCACCTCTGGACAGAAGCCGCCCCTTTGGTCTCTTGTGTCTACTTGTCTAAGAGGCACATTCTTCACAAGTATCACTTTATGTCACACAGTCCAGTCCAATCCCTGTCTGAAGAGTTGGCCTCGGAAATTGTTTTAGTTCTGGGGTGATGGAGAGACCAGGGGCCATGCTTTCCAGGGTGCCTCCAGTCTTAGTCAGACCATTAAGTCTGGTCTTCTTACTAGAATTTGAGTTCTGCATCCCATCATTCTACTGCTCCATCAGGGACCCTCAGTTGTGTTCCCTGTCAGGACGTTCATTTGTGGTAGCTGGGCACCATCTAGTTCTTCTGGTCTCAGGCTGATGAAGTCTCTGGTTTATGTGGCCCATTCAGTCTCTTGGGCCAGTACTTTCCTTGTGCCTTTGGCGTTCTTCGTTCTCCTTTACTCCAAGTGGGTGGGACCAATTGGTGCATCTTAGATGGCCACTTGCAAGCTTCTAAGACCCCAGACGCTGCTCACCAAAGTAGG